CCTTAGGCTGAACAACAGAGAGAGGGACAGTGGGCAGACTGTTACTTCCTGGAGACTGGAGATACATGCAGTGCCCCTTGTACTTGGGCAAAGGCAAGTTCTAGAGAGCAAGAGTCTGTGTCTTGTTTGGGCAGTGATTTGTGATATATGGACTCTACCCACTGATAGCTTCCTATCAGTCAGCTTACATATTTACTGTTCCTTCCTTGAGGATTAATGAATAGGGAATTTTCCTTTCCTTTATGGAAATGAGAAGACTGGTTAAGTAAGCGACCTTGAGCACACTGGAGCAAGGTAATTGACCTCTGCGATGTGGAGGTTGGACAGGAAGGGTCCATTTTAGTCCCAGGAGTCTACGTTAGGAAAGCAATTCAAATTATTTTTAGGTTCCTTCAATTCATTTCTTTCAACATCCAGACTTCTTGATTGATCTGTTTACCGTATTTATTTCATTTATCAAATGTTGTATTCTTATTGTTACATACTATTTATTCATGTACTAAAACATCAATCTTTTATTATTTATATGTCAAACATTTCTCCTGTTTTACAGTTTCTTTTAATTTTGATAAACAATGCTTTTGATATAAATCATTTAGATTTCTTTCTTTTTAAAAATATTTATTCTTAAGTTTTAGATGGACACAATAGCCTTATTTTACATTTATGTGGTGCTGAGAATCGAACCCAGTGTCTCATGTATGCTAGGAAAGCACTCCACCACTGAACCACAACCCCAGCCCCAATCATTTAGATTTCTATGTAATCAAATCTACTAATCTTTTTCTTTGTGATTTATTACATTTATATTAAATGTGTAATTTTTTAAAATAAAAGAATAATTAAATCCCATTTACTTATAAGAAAAACTTTAAGTGACTCGTATGAGTATATAACATAAAAGATAATAGGTTGTAAGTCTAAGCTAAAGAAAAAAGGGTAAAAAATGGCAGGAACATAAAAGAAGTAAGAACAAGGTTAAGAATAATTTATATCCTTATAACCCATTTGCTTGTTCATTGGTGGTTCACGTATTTGGATGTAAGCTTTCTACCAGTCTGGTCAGAAAGAGAGCTGCTACCTTGTCCATAATGTTATAACATGGCAGTGTTTTTCACGAGTATATATATTTTTCCTAACACGAAGATCAGATCGGCGTTTCTGATTTCAAGGGGTCTCATAAATAGGACGATGCATGAACAGCATTTTGTGAGGGGTTTATATGTCTGATTTCTATGTTGCCTGCCCACATGGCTCATTATATTATGGGAAAGCACAGTCCAGCGTGGGTGTTCAAGGAAAGATGTGCTGGGAATGCCTGCCCCCCTACAGATCTGGCTTGACCCAGGACCAGGTCCAGGGCTTTTAGAC